TGCTGGGATTAAAGGCGTGTGCCACCACCGCCCGGCTCAGCTGTCCTTTATGTAGACCTAAGAACACAAGATACTTCTGGTGAATGGTGACATGATAGACGTGGAGGTGAACAGAAAGAGCCCTCCAAAGACAAAGGACTGGAGGACAGGAGCTAGACTCGGGCAATTTAAAGCCTGGGTTACTCCCTTCCATTCTCAGACGACCAGGAGTCCCAGGCCTTCTGGACCAGAGCAAAAGGCCGAGGGTACTGACTGAGCTGCCTACAAGCCTCTGGGAACTGGCCGAGGCTGTGACCCTGCTCCCAGCCTGAAGCTCGCACGAGATGGTAGCGGCGGTCATACTCACAGGAGTGGAGCTTGAAGAGCAGCTTGACAGTGTAGTCATAGAGGTGGCTGCAGTCCAGGATGACCTGGACCAGCGGTGCGAGGCGGCACTGCCCAGCTGTGGTCACGGACACGGAGCGGGACATGTCCAAGGAGTTGAACACTGTGGACGAAGATGGGGAGAGGCCACAGTGAGGCAGAGATCTTTGCAGTGGAGTAGAATCAGGGGTCTGACATACAACCAAGACTTACTCTGTGCATGTATTCTGTTTTTATGGCACTAAGAATGGAACCCAGGACTTTGTATATGAAAGGCAAGTGCTCTACTGTTGAGCCACACCCCCAGCCCCTCACTGGGGGATTCTAGACAGGTGCTCTACTGTTGAGTCACACCCCAGCCCCTCACTGGGGGATTCTAGGCAGGGGCTCTACCACTGAGCCACACCCCAGCCCCTCACTGGGGGATTCTAGGCAGGTGCTGTACCACTGAGCCACATTCCAGCCCCTCACTGGGGGATTCTAGGCAGGTGCTCTACCACTGAGCCACACCTCCAGCCCCTCACTGGGGGATTCTAGGCAGGGACTCTACCACTGAGCCACACCCCCAGCCCGTCACTGGGAATTCTAGGCAGGTACTCTACCACTGAGCCACACCCCAGCCCCTGACTGGGGGATTCTAAGCAAGTGCTCTACTGTTGAACTATGTCCCCAGCCCCTCACTGGAGGATTTTAGCCCAGGGCTCTACTCTTGAGCCATGGCCCTAATTCCTCTGGGGAATTTTAGACAAGCATCCTACCACTGAGCCATACCCCTAATTCCTCATTGGGGGATTCTAGGCCAATGCTATGATCCTGAACTGTATCCCTAGTGATTTCCATAATCTCACATTGAGATAGGATCTTGCTATGTAGCTCAGGCAGGATTTAATATCTCTATCCTCTCACCTCAGCCTCCTGAGGGCTGGATGACAGGTGGGTGGCCTGTGATTGACAAGTGCATTGACCCATGTGATTCATTTAACCCTATGAAACCCCGAGACAGGAAAGGGTATCCCCACCAGACAGGTAAGGAAAACATCACTTGAAGGTGGTCACAAAGCCAAGAAGTAGTTGTGCTACTGCTTGGGTGCTATGAGCCCACATGGCCATCAATGGGTACAACAAGCACCTTTGCTCCTGATGGCCAGAAAGCTCGGTGTGTCATGATGAGGTGAGGGAGACACTGCCTTGTGCAGAACCCCATGATAAGCATGGGAAAGAAGATTCACTGATAACCTATGAGGCATGTCCCAAGTCTGATCAGAAACACTCAACACATTTTCTTTTCTGACATAGAGTCTTAGGTCGCCAAGGGTGGACCTGAACTCAATATGCAGCCAAGAGTGACCTTGAATTTCTGTTCTCCCTGCCTCTATCCACCTCCTGAATGCTGGGAGAAGTGTGAGCCACCGTGCATGGTTTATATAGTGCCGGGGATTTGAACCCAGGACTTCATGCATGTTAGGCAAGCACCCTACCTATCAATTGTGCTACAGCTTTCCCCTAAATTTCTTATTCCAGGCATCTATCCACATTACCTAATTCTACACCCAGCTATTGGACGCCTGGCTATAGGCTATCACTCACCCCATGGCCAGGGCTGACTACCTTTCTTGTCCTGGCTGCCCACTGTCCCTAGAGACTCTATGTAACGTGAAACACAAGACTTCCCTGATGTCCCCACATGTGTGGACCTGCCCATGGGTAGGCACAGAGTCCTCGTGTGTTGCACCTCCCTGGTCTGCACAGATCCTGTAAGTGTGTTTGTCTGGTGGATAAGAGAAAGGCAGAGAGAGTCACACACACACACACACACACACACACACACACACACACACACCACAGAAAGGGAACCACCAGCCAAGCAGTGGTGGCACACACCTTTAATCCCAGCACTAGGGAGGCAAAGACCGGCGGATCTCTGTGAGTTTAAGGCCAGCCTGGTCTACAGAGTGAGATCCAGGACAGCCAGGGCTACACAGAGAAACCCCGTCTCAAAAAACCAAAAAGAGTTTGATTTTTCGGACAGTGGTGGCACACTCCTTTAATCCCAGCACTCAGGAGGCAGAGCCAGGCGGATCTCTGTGAGTTCGAGGCCAGCCTGGTCTGTAAGAGAGATCCAGGACAGGCACCAAAACAACACAGTCACCCTGTCTCAAAAATCTGCCCCCCTCAAAAAAAAAGAGAACCACCCAAATTGAACCACCCTTGACACAAATTAAAAGCAGCTGTCATGCAAGGCAGCCATCAGTGTCAACTGGCTTCCTCAGGCTCCTGTCTGACAAGCAATCACAGCTACCTCCATCTCCTCCTGGGAATGCCACTTGACCCCCAGCAGCAGCTAGAGCAGTGTGACTGGAGGCAAGTTTCTCAGCCTGGCCGGGCCGCTGAATGCTCAGCTGTGAGCTCTATGGTTATGACTGCCTGTGCCGCACACCGTCTGATGAGACCAGTGAGGAGGCCAAGAGCTTCTGCACTGTGCTTCTCAGCTCTGGCTTGGTGGGTAAGCATGTGTGCGTGCGTGCGTGCGTGCGTGCGTGCGTGTCTGTGTGTGTGTGTGTGTGTGTGTGTGTGTGTGTGTGTGTGTATGTGTGTATGTGTGTGTACAAGCAGGTACACATGTAGGCTGGTACATATGGAGACCAGAGGTCAACCTCGGGTATCCTTAGCTGCTTCTACTCCTTTTTATTGGTTTTTTTTTTTTTTTGAGACAGGGTTTCTTTGTGTAACAACCCTAGGTGCCTTCGCCAGTAGATCAGGCTGGCCTCTAACTCACAGACATCTACCTACCACCATGTCTGGCTTTTTTTCTCTTTTTTTAATTAATTTTTTTTTTAAACAGGGTTATTAGGGCTGGAGAGATGGCTCAGTAGTTCAGAGTGCATACTGCTCTTTCAGAAGACCCAAGTTCAGTTCCCAGCACCCATAGGGGGCAGTGTGGCTTATAACCATCTGTAACTCTAGCTCCAGGGGATCTGATGCCCTCTTTTGGCCTCTGCAAGCAACTGCACTCATGTTGTATATACCCCAACACAGACACATATGTATACATGATTAAAAAAATCTGTGTGCATGCTAGGCTGTAGGGCCCTGACCCCCCATCTTGGGTAGCTGTTGCCTTGCTTGTCGACCTTGACCAGATGTCCTCCCTATGCCGATTCCCTGCCAGTTTCCTCCTTACTGAACGCCCCCACCCCCAGGTTCTTTGTTTGTGTATCCTGTATTTGGTGTAAACAGCTTAGATGCAAGAATGTAGAACATTGGGTAGCGAACTTCTGCCCTCTGGGGATCCCCCATTGTGCTGTAAGCCTGTATTTAAGGCCTCCTCCCTCTTTCAATGAACGGCATTCGGCATTCTGCTGGGTGAATGACCCACTGTTTCTTGTCTCTATTTTTTTTTTAAATATTTATTTATATGAATGCTCTATCTGCATGTATGGCTTTATGCCAGAAGAGGGTGCTAGATCCCACTAGAGATGGTTGTGAGCCACCATGTGGTTGCTGGGAATTGAACTCAGGACCTCTGGAAGAGCAGCCAGTGCTCTTAACAGCTGAGCCATCTCTCCAGCCCCTGGTCCCTATTTTTTAATCCATAGCCCCCGGCTCGGACATGGTGATCGGGTAGTGGTCGCGCGGGCGTTACTGCAACAAATGGAGGTCTCACCGCAACGGTAGGCAAGCGCTCTACTGCACTGAGCTGCATCCTTAGCTCAAGACAGACTCCCGTGTGGCGGGACATTTGTTTAACTATGTAAATATATATTGCTGTTTTACCTTACCTGCCTAAGGCACCTGATTGGTCTAATAAGAAGCTGAGCCGGGCGGTGGTGGCGCACGCCTTTAATCCCAGCACTCGGGAGGC